CATTACTCTACGGATTAAGATGTGTTGCTCGGAAAGAGAAAGGAGATTGAGCATCGAACCCCGATACATTCAAAGGAAATCATGTTAGTGAACTTTTATTTCTTAGCTTCCCGTTTTTCCCTATAGCAATAGCGGGCCGCGGGGTCAACTCCCCTCACCGAACTTGCTCGCCATTTCAGCCGTGGGGGTGTTATAAGGTGACGGTAAAGAGACTAAACAGTAGCCTAAGAGTTGGCAGTGGGTGATGTTGACTAGCTGTCTTCCCTCTAGTCTATCACATCAAAATTAGGGTCAACTAGCAGAGATAGCCTTCGAGGAGCTTTACGTGATATTCAACAAAACAAACAGAATTTGACATAGAGTTCGTTTCCTGTTCTAGAAAGTAAGATATTTCACAGATTTTTAACGAATTATTATCCTGTCTCAATGAATTTAATTAGATTATTTATTACTGATTATATTATTATAATTATATGTTATTAAATCAGTTTGGAATGGCCTGGGTACATTTAATAAGAGAAAAAAAGACAGTGTTATGCACTGGAATGGGGGAGACTACAAGTTCTTAAATTAGAAAGGCAAAATCAAATTCTAAAAGTTTTTGTTGCGGAAAATATTATAATAACAGGTAACTATTATTATAAGTATGGAGCTTTACACATACAGTACATATATAATTCAAATATTTTTGATAACATAATATTTTGCTTTTTTATATGAATAATTAATAAAAATTCTTACTATTGAAGTAATGTTAATTATTGAAATGTATGTAAGTTGAAGATCTGCAGATAAGTAACGAAATGAGCAAACTTGGTTAAAATAACATACGATTTTTAAAAACCTGAAACATTGGACTACACAGAAGTTGCAACAAAAACCCACAGAAACCCTAGAGAAATTATTTTATTTTGTATTATATTAAATTATCTTCTTTATTAAACTCTGTCAAAATAGAGATAAATTCAATAATATTAATTACAATAAATAAAAATGAAATAACTTGAATTATACAAAGTTTCATCAATATATTGGAACGAAATGATTTATAGACTATTCTACAAAAGGCCTAAGAATTACGTATGGGAAAAAATGTAGCTAATAATTTCTCTCCTTGCCTTATTAATAGAAACGTACGATTAACAATAATGACAATTACTTACGTGGTTTTAGTAAAATTTCTGTTGAATATTTAGTTTTGAAATAATCTGCCACAAGTTTTTTGAAAATTTTTTAAAATGTATTGAAGATTTTTTTTATAATCAGCTGAACTTTATTGAAAAGAAGCTTGGTTCGTATATGTTATTACGTACAAGTATAGGCATATAAATTTTCTGTTGATTATAAGAAAGCTATTTTTATTATTTCAAATATAAACCTTGTGAAAAGATGTTTTAGACATTTGGAGGTTAATCTAAATATTAAAATAAAATATACAAATAATTTAAAACGGCACTTGTGCAATATATACATATATACAGATAAAAGGAGTACAACGTTAAAATAATTACACAATAAATAATTTATTAAAAGAGGAACTAGCCCTAAAATGACTACATGTTTCGGTGTTCTTGCCTTACCATCTTCAGGATGACACATTTAGCTAACGTAGTAACTAAACTTTTATGCAGGAAACAATTCACTTTGCTTTTACCTTGTGACACGTCAGAGGTACTAAGAGAAATATTGTTACACCTCCGTTCGTTAGTTAATTTTCCGTAAATTCGTTCCGACGAAACTTTAGCGACACAAGTCCTTTCTTAAATAAAAGTGGTTTATTTTTTTCTGAATACAACTTTGCAATACACTTAATTTCAACAGTCATGGTATAACAAACGCTATAACTCACAACGAACGTCTCACGTGCCCAACAATATTCTCTCTATGTCCGCAGTTCAATTACTCATTATTGTTGCCGTCACGTTGTGACCGTCTTATATACACAAGACTACCCCATATCTAGTAAACGCTAGAGCATTCAGGAAGGTTCGAGAATATGACGCGTTACTAGAGTCACGTGACCTCCGCTGTCGTAACACTGCCCCTTCCTTAGTATTTTTCTTCCCGAACAATAGACACTTACATCAAACCAATAACAATTAACAATAACTTAATTAAATGTACAGAATTACAAACAAAATTACAATTCAACAAAGTCCCTTAATTTTACGGGACGTATCTTCCTCTGTACTGGTCTCCTTCTCGTTGGCTTCTGCTTCATATGGGGTTCTTCTGCTTCATCAGGAAATGTCCTATCGTCGGTAACAGTCACATCAATGGTAGTAACTTTATCAAGAGCTTCACCATTTCCCTTCTCAAAGCTGAGTATAGTTTCTTCTTCGGCAGTGGCTTTTTCAGAAGACACGTCTTCAGCAGCGTCATTTGTTCTGTTGTTCACTTCGTCCCAACTGAAATGTCCTGGACCGTGATAACGCCAAAGCCTGTTGGCATGCACCACTTTTGGCTTACCTCGCCGACCACATTTGATTCGGAAAGTCACGTCTGAGAGACGATCCACTATGTCATATGGGCCTTCCCATGGAGAAGACAACTTAGGAGACTTCTCTTTGGTCTTCCTGGGATTATACAACCACACCTTGTCTCCTGGTACAAAGCTGGCGTCAGTAGATCTCTTATCATAAGATAACTTCATCAAATCAGCAGACATTTTCAAGTTTGAATGCACTTGACGGTGAATAGCATCCATCCTTTCCGATAACACTTTCACAAACTCTGACACATTCTCAGGCAACTCTTCATAAGGTGGGCATCCTGTTAACAGATCCACTGGCAACCGAAGTTTCCGACCAAACATCAACTTTGCTGGAGTGTATAGGCCATCAACAGTGGAGGGAGTAAGACATCCCAGTCATATTGGCAGCTATTACAAAACTTTGTCAATTCCTGTCCAAGTGTCCAATTGTACTTTTCTACCATCTCATCAGACTGTGGGTGAAGTGGCGTTGTCCTGGTCTTTCTTATGCCAAACAACTTGCAGCATTCATGGAACACAGCTAATTCAAAGTTACGGCCTTGATCTGAATGCAGTTCATATGGCAT